TCATCTTATGTATGATGGAATGATTCTCATTTCATCATAAGGGGGAGTATATGTAATAATGAATGAAATATTCATTTCCGAACATTGTTAAAGGGAATCTGATGCAAAGATCAAGGGGGAGTAACTTCGATAATGGCAAAAGACTCAAAAGAAGCGCGACTGAAGATAATCACAGAAAGATTACTCATGTGCTACATCGACTGAGAGTTTTTGAATGAGAAGATCAATGTTTCAAAAGTTTACAAAGAAAAGTCTGAAGATTAATTCTAAAGATCCTTTGAAGGTCACATCTTGTACATTGTTTCAGACAATCACTGTTCTACTTTGTCAAAAGAGAAGATCACTGTGGTTCTACATTCGAGGGGGAGAATGCTAGAAGATCTTTCTCAACAGTTGATTACTTGAAGATTTCAAGTTGAAGATTTCTTTTGAAGATGACATATTGTGCTTAATGTTTCAAAGTTCAAACAAGGACTTAAAGTGCAGAATTTTCTTTCAAGTTTGAATACAAAGAAGAAGAATGTTAGGACTAAAAATCGGTATTAATTGTATTCGTCTTGAAAGTTAAATATAGTCTATAATTGTAAAAGTCATCGTGTTTGACTTTTATTAGACAAGTTTGACTTTGATTTGTATTAGTTGTTTGACCATATAAATAGTAGGTTGTTTTTGTAATTGTGGAAAGAGAGCTCATTTGTAAATCATATTACGTAAATGAGAGGTTTGACTAAATTGTGAAGATTGACTTTTCCTCTCAACTATCATATACATGTTCTTGATGTTCTTGAATGCAATATCCAGATCTGCCATTGTTGTGAAGCTAACATGAAGATTGATCACTGAATTGTGGGACAAACAGACTGGGACCAACAAAAATAATCTAAGGAACACACAAGATATAGAGAGCAAGGAAGAAAAGACTTGCTAAAAAGAAGAAGCAATAACTTCGCTAGAAGGAGAGCTTAGTTAGTGTTCTTCACTTGAGGTAAACGTAACTTCACAAGGTTAAGAAGTTTGTGTTTGTATATGTCTTTCTTCTTGGGTATTTGAAGATCTGAAGTCTCTTATGAAAAGGAGAATCTTCATGGCTATTTATACCCATTGCATTAAATGCAAGTCAGACAGTACAAGGCACGTGAGAAGCTTCTAGAGGTGAACTTTTCCTTTTTAAAATCCTTTTAATGATAAAGAAGATCAATACATAATTTATAGATTGTTTGCGGAATAAGATAGGATACTGAACTTATATAAAACAATCTAAGGAACTCACAAGATACAAATAGCAAAGAAGAAAAGACTTGATAAAAAGAAGAAGCAATAACTTCGCTAGAGGGAGAGCTTAATTAGTGTTCTTCACTTGAAGTAAATGTAACTTCACAAGGTTAAGATGTCTATGCTTGTATGTGTTGATCCCAACCTGGTCTACAAGAGTTAGAGGAACAGTTTCTAGAAGGGGGGGAGGGATGAATACAAACACAAAAAACTTTCGTATTTAAAAATATATATTGATATAGAAGGATCAATACAGATTTTTATAGATTGTTTACAGAAATAGAAAAGGTAAAGATAACCTATCTAAAAACAATCAAAGATTACATACAAATATACTTAGCAAATATAAGAAATTTGCCGAAAAGAAAAAGGCAGAAAGATGTTCTTCTTGGGTAAGAACTTTAGAATTTTGAGAGAAATTCTAAGTTGCTTGAAGATAAGCATATGTGTTCTTTTGTGTGCTATGATTAGATGTTGTGCATGAAGAGAGCACTCAACTATTTATACCCATTGCATTAAATGCAAATCAGAAGGGTTAGAATACGCATCAAGATTTAAGAGGAAAACTTGTCCTTTGCAACAGTGAATAGTACTATTGTCTATTCATGAGCAGACATCCTTTCATGGAGTTGATGGGCATAAGAGTCGACTAGTCGGCTCCATACAGTAATATACTCTTGGAAGGGTATGGGTTTGTTCTTTGTGTGTAAGGACAAGACAAAAACAATCGTGCATGGCAAACTTCATTTGATCGTTGAATGCTTGAATGGCAAACTTCATTTGATTGCTGAATGCTGGAATAATGTTGGAGGTCTTTTCAGCATTCACTGAGGCTTGTGCAGTCTTCACACAAATGTTGACCAGATTGTAATCAATAAATACCACTTCAGATCACGAACGCGCCAATCACTAATCTTCAGTTTCAATCTTCGGCATTCACTGAAGTTTCTTGGGTGTGAGTTTTGTCAGTTTGAAGTATCGTTGTCGCTGTAGGATTACAATACGTGTTTCAGCGATCACTGAACAGACTCAGTGATGATCGTTGAAACTCAAAAGACAAAAACAATAATACTTCAAAAGGTAAGAGAGATTATCATCAAATCAATGTGAGAGAGGATCAACAGTCTCCCTCTATTTGATGATGACAAAACAACATAAAGAAAATTGCCTTAAGATTTAATAGTAAGGAAAAGTTACATATAAAGTACATGTCCCTTTTAACTATTTTGGGATCTTTTCAATAATACAGTTTTTTACTATATAAGTTTTCTTAAGTTACAAGTTTAAGAAAAAGTACAAGAAGGGAAACTGAAACTGAAAGCATGTTCATTGACTGAAGATTGTCAGTGACTGTAAGAGCATACTAGAAGTCATAGACATGTGTCCCTATTACTCTTTTCAGGGATCTTTTTTAGTGATGTTAATGAAATACTTATACTAATCAAAGGAGAATTACAAGTGTTTCAGTCAATACATTATAGACTTATTACAAATAAGTTGTACACTAAAAGAAAAGACATAGAAAAACAAGACTTACAATGAAATATAAAATTTACAAGACAAAAATTTATAACTAATCTAAGTCGCTGAAGTTGATGTAACCAAGTACTTCTTCTCCAAGCATCTTTCAACGTTGAAATTCTTTTCTGATCCTCCGGTCTATCATTTCACCATAAACATCATTGTCCAACCAATATCTTAGATAATCAAGATGTGCTATATGACAAAGATTAAACTCAAACACTCTCTCAAAGCTGAGTTTGCCTTAATAGTCAAGGAATATAAATCCAAACTCAGGATTTATATGCACAATGTTGGGTATGTAAGGACCCTTTGCTAGCAAAGAGAGGTTCAACATAGAGATGTCTGGCTTCTTCGAATCCTTTAGGACTTTCTCCAGGGAGAACTTTGTTTGATCTTCATTGTTGGCTTAGTTTGTACAACAGCAAATTTGGACATCTTCTTGATCAGCTCACTGAGGATGTCTTCAATTATTGGCTTGTGCCATGACTTTGGGCGCTGAATAGCTTGGCGGATTTCCATCCATTCACTGTAGCCGTATTGTCCAAGGTAGGAAGGATACTCTGTGACAGCTACAAGGTTTTCTCTAGTGATGAGCACGGAGATGAGAAGTCCACCATCTTTCATTCGTCCATTGACTGTGACGTTTGAGATGCGATGAGGACTTATTCTATTATTTAGACTATCTTCATTCCATTTTCTGTCTCGGTCGTTCAGCTTTATTGCCTTTTCACGTTTAGCTTCTGCAATTGAAAGCAACTTAGCTTGGGCCTTGACGGCGTTCGCCATCTTTTTAGACGATTTATTTGGAAGAACTTGAGCAGCAAGAGACTTAGCCATCTTTAGGTTGTCCTCAGTCTGTTGTCATTGAAGATTGAGTTCATCCTCTGCCTTGAGTGCTTCGAGTCTTTTGAGTCTTTCAGCTTCAGTAAGGAAGTCAAACTCAACACAACTAGAGATACGAAGAAGAATTTTTACTCTAGTTTGGTCGAGTGACTCCTTAAGATGAGTCATCTGTTGTTCGCTAGGAACACTGGAGGTTGGGTTTTCAGGTATCCATTCCTCCATGCGACCACAGGTAGTAGAAGGGATAGAAAAAGAAAGTTGACAAAAGGATATGACTATTGCAAACCTAGAGGATTCAGTATCTTGAGGCACGATAGGTTTGAAGATAATTTTGAGATTTCCTTCTTCAGCAACACCTTTGTATTTTGAGGCGGTGTTTTGGTTCTTTGAGAAAGTCTCCTTCTCTTCTTCTCCCCTTGGGATGACGAATCCCTAAGAGAGACTCCTTTTAGAGCACTGGTAGGTTCGTGGTACTGAATCATGAAATCGTCGTCATCGTCCTCTTCATCATCATCACCATCGAGATCCTTTCCAGCATCAGGAAGGGATGGAGAGTCATCGTCATCTTCATCGTCATCATCTTCACCTTCATCTTTCTCATGACCAGCGTCAGCTGCAGGGGTGATAGGAAGGTCTTCGTCATGAACTTCACCATCAGCTCTAATGGCATCATCAACAACCTCATCTTCATTAGCTTCATGGGTAGTGATGGTATCATCAACAACCTCAGGTTCATTAGCTTCAGCTCTTTGAGTATCAGGTTCAGCTTCAGTTGTAGAGACATCAGCAATAGCAACCAAATCTTTCTCCCCCTCTTTGTCATCAGCTTGACTAGAGAAGAGGTTATCAAGACTCAGTGCTATGATGTCTATTTGCTGTTCAAGCACGCTTAACGATCTAGCTTGAAGAAGACCGACTTCGAGAGCCTGATCCAGCGAGAGGCGATCCATTATTGTGAAGAAGGGTGTAAGAACTGGTATTGGACATTGAAGAAGCTCCAGTATCTACTGCAACAACTCACCATGCCTGGCAAGCTGAGCATTCGCTTCATCGGCTTTGATGTTTAGAGCAGAGATAGCCTGCATTGGTGCGTACAACGGCTTGCATCGCAGAAAGTTATTCCTTCACATCAATGACATCAGCTTTGACAGCTGAGAGGTCAGAGGAAACGTCATCCCTAAGAGGCATGCCTTTATGGACTTAATCTATTTTGATTAAGATAGTCTCTATGGTCGGGATTATCAGCTTCACATCATCAGCCATGTTATATTCTTCTTCCATGATTGGCGTTCCTTCATCGCAAGAACTTGAAAAAGAAGATGGTTGAGCATAAGATATCTTGGGGTTAGAAGAAATGAAAGCGTAGGTTGGAAGATTACCTGAGGGTTCATCAGCACCATCTGAAGGATTGATGCTGGTTCTCTCTAGGTTGCCTACGAGAGGATAGGCTTCCATTGACTGAGGTGTTTCGAGAGAAGCAACCTCATGTCCTATGATGGGTGCTTCATCATCAGGGAGGACAATCACTGATGAGTCATGAGCACGTGTCAAGACCAAAGAAGGAGGAGAGGAAAAGATGGCTGAGAATGGTGGAAGTGGGTGTTCAGTAGTGGCTATGATGATATTCACACCTTCGGTGATTTGGGTCACTAAGGCGGTTGGGATAGGAGCCACAGGTACGACAGTGACTACAAATATCACTGAGGAGATTGGAAGAGATAAAGCTGAAGGTGCCTCGAGGTTAAGGCTGGTTTCAATAGCTGGAACCTTTTGGGAGGTAGCAGCCAGAGATGCGATTATCCCTTTTTTGGCTTTCTTGGCCCTCGATGGAGATCCAAGTGGTTTGTGAGGAGGTTCTTTTAGAAGAGAGGGTGGTAGTGGTTGGGATAGACTTTGGGGATTTTTCCTTAGTCTTGACCATTTGAGCAATGGAAGAAGGACATACCGACACAGTTGGAGAAGATGAAGAAGTAAATGCAGGCACAGTCACAAGAGAGGAGAGTGCAAGGTCTTCAGCTTTCAGCATATAATCCAAGATTATGGATCCAATATTGTAGATAGGAAGGTTGCCTTCTATGGAGTACTTGTTGCTAAATATTTTAGCAAACACCATGGATAAGAACCTGGTGTAAGGTACTACCTTCTCCCTCTGGCGCTTGTTCAGCTTCAGCACCAGGTCTTCAAAGATCACACCGACAAAGTTGATTGGCCTTTGGCGAATGATAGAGATGCCAATGTTCAACGCAACTCTAAACGCTTGATCTTGTCCACTAGTTTTGCCTCCCATACATTGGATGAAATGGGAAAACAAAAACTGCCATACCACAAACATGCGGTTCTTCTCAATTTTTGAAAGCGACTTGAAGGGATCACTGGAATCCTTCTTTGTTGGCCAGGCGTAGCCAATATCATCCAAACAAGATATGATATATTTAGTGGAAGGTTCACTGGCATAGGGAAAATTTGGTAGATGGAGAGCAGTCCTTAGTGTGGCAACCCCGAAACTGACAGTCATCCTGTTGAGGGTGAAGGAGATTTTCTCCACCTGTTAACCAGTCTTGTCAGTATCTTGAACTACTTCAGCAGTAAGCCAGAACTATTGAAGAACTTCCTTCACCATGATAGGTTCATGGAGAATGCGATGGAGATAGGAGACTTCTTGAGGATTGTAGCAGCTTCCTCGTAGTAGGATTTGTTGGCCGAAATGTCAAACAACGCCACATGATTATTGGGTTTGAAAGACACATCGTCAATCGAGAAGATCACGTTCTTGAGAGACATTTCTAATATAGATAAGAAATAAGAAATAACAATTCTGTTTGATATCTAAGATATAATTGTGAACTATTAAGTTTTGAAACAATAAAACTTCTTTTGAAAAATCCACAAAGAAAATTAGGGTTTTTCAAGAAGAGTAAGTGTATAGAAACTTTAGATTATAACCAAGTAAAAGAATGTGTTAATAATCTTTATGTTGGTCGTTTAAGAGAACAAGATCTTAAGTAACCTAACATTAGTTTCTTAGAAGAAGAACATATCAAGTAGAAAGAAGAGTTATCAACCTATGAGACATAGAAGAAGAAGAAGGTTGAAGGGTTTAAGAGTTCTTTAGTTCTTGCTTGAATTTTTTTTTGAGCCAGAGGTTTGACAAAAGTATTTGAAAGCGTAAGGCAAAAATGAGAGGAGAGGTCTCATATTTATAGGTAGGAGGAAAGAGAAATTGAAATAGGAAAGAAGAAAATACGACTTAAAAGTTGTGCAATAATGAAAAAAGTAACACGTTCTCATCCACGAGTGGATGGAATTTTGAGGGGTCGCGTGCGTTAGAACGATACGCGTGTCTCAAAAAAATCATATCGTTTAAATAAAAATGACAGCATAAAACGTTTCATTTTCCATTTCTTTTAAAACAAAAAGTTTATGGTATTCAAAAACAACATTCTTAAGAATATGAAAGGTTTTTGAAAGGGTTCAGTGATAAGAAGAATCAATGAAGAAAAGTAAATCTTTTAAAACATTGATCACTGAAAGAGAAAAGCTTCAGTGATGGTTTTGTTTTAAGAAAAGAAAAATATATCTTAGAGAGAGATATTTCCATAAATGGTTCAGTGTTAGAAGAAACACTGAAACAATCTTTTAAAAACATTTCAATCACTGAATAAGGAAATGTTCAGTGATCATTTTTGTTTTAAGATAAGATAAGTATATCGTAGAGAGATATACTTGCTTTAAAAAGTTCAGCGATAGAAGGAATCACTRAAACAATCTTTTAAAACGTTTTGATCACTGAAGATGAAAAGATTCAGTGATAGTTTTAAGTTTTAAAGAGAGAGATAGAGAGAAAAAGTATACATACCTTAGAGAGAGAAGATATATTTACTCAAGAGTTCAGTGATAGAATAAGAACACTAAATCATTTCACTTACTAAGTAATGCTTATAGCTGAAGGAAATTAATCCTCAGCGTTTAGCATTCCAAGTTCGCTGATCAAGATGTTAAATCTTGTCTCATCAAGAGGCTTTGTAAAAAGGTCAGCGAGTTGGTAGTCAGTTTGCAATGTCAATAGCACTAGTGCTATCGCAATAGATAGAAACTTTGGAAAATTGAATATCATAATCATTGAGCTGGTTTTTCATTCAAAGGACATGGGCACAGCAGCTTCCAGCGGCAACATATTCAGCTTCAACAGTTGATGTGGACACTGAATTTTGTTTTTTACTTGTTCAGTTTACCAACTTTCCACCTAGAAGTTGACAGCCTCCAATGGTTCTTTTCCTATCAATTTTGCATCCTACAAAATCACTATCTGAATAACCTATTAGGTCAAAACCTGAACCCTTAAGGTACTAGAGACCCAAGTTAGGAGTTCCCTTTAGGTATCTGAATATGCATTTTACAGCAATCAGATGGGTTTTTTTAGGTTCAGATTGATATCGTGCACATAGACAAGTAAAATACATGATATCTGATCGACTTGTTGTGAGATACAGCAGGGAGCCTATCATTCCTGTATAAACAGTAACGTTTACAATCTTTCCATTTGGATCCTTGTTTAGAGAGAGAGGAGGAGGTGTCATTCGAGTTTTCATAGATGAGCTGTTGGATAGATCAAACTTTTTCAGCATATTTCTGACATACTTACATTGGCTGAGAAATATATCTTTATCTGACTGCTTGATCTAAATACCTAGTAAATAGGTTGGTTCTCCCATCATACTCATCTGATATTCTTTCTTCATACGATCAGCGAATCAAAAACACAAAGAAGGATTAGTGGAACCAAATATAATATCATCGACATAAATTTGGACTAGAATGATATAATCTTTTAACTTTGCTAAGAAATAAGGCCTGGTCAATCTTTCCACGGACAAATTTCTCATAGATGAGAAATGAGAAGAGGGTATCATACCAGGCACGGAGGGCCTGTTTTAACCCGTAAAGATCTTATTCAATCGATAAACATGAATTGGATACTTAGGGTCAAGAAACCCTGGAGGTTGTTCAACATAAACTTCCTCTTGGAGATTTCCATTAAGGAAAGAACTCTTTACATCCATTTGGTAGACTTTAAAGTCTTTATGGGTAGCAAAGGCTAGGAAGAGTCGAATAGCTTCGAGTCTAGCCATTGGTGAAAGGTTTCGTCATAATCGATTCCTTCTTCTTGTCTATAACCCTGAGCAACAAGACGAGCCTTGTTACATGTTACCGAGCCTTGTTACATGTTACCGTACCTTGTTCATCTAACTAATTGCGATAAACCCATTTGGTGCCTATCTTAGTTTTGTCTGACGGACGTGGGACAAGATACCAGACTTTATTCCTATCAAACTCAATAAGCTCCTCTTGCATGGAAATGACCCAACTAGGGTCTAAGATAGCATCATTGAATTTTTTGGGTTCAACTATAGAAAGGAAGTTGACAAAGAAACAAATATTACCTAGACCACGTCGTGTCTAAATACCTGCACTTGGATCACCAAGAATTTGATGAATTGGATGGTCTTTTGTCCATCGCTGAGATGGTAGAGGATTGTCATCTGAGCATTGATGTTTAGGAACAGAAGATGAGGCTTCAGCTGTAGATTCTTCAGCAATGGGTAGAATTGCTAAAGGAGCCTAAGTGAGAGATGCAGCGACTGATAGAGGTTCAGATGCTGAAGGCATTTCATTCACTGATTGATCAGTGTTTGAAGTAGAGGGAGGAATGAAACTAATGGGCACTGCAACAATCTTTGAAGAAGATTTGCTTCGGTTATTAGTTACAACTGGAATGATAAGTGGATGATCATAAGCTTCTAGAGTATCAGCATTGGATTATTGCTGAAAGAAGCTTCAGGTTGTCCAACATGAGAGAACATCCAGTTATCTAATTTGTCCTCATCATTAATGATGGGTTTAGAATTAGCTAATTGAGATTCATCAAAGGTGAGATGAATAGTTTCTTCTA